GTTGAGTGGTTGTCTATAGTGTTGAGTGGTTGTCTATAGTGTTGAGTGGTTGTCTATAGTGTTGAGTGGTTGTCTATAGTGTTGAGTGGTTGTCTATAGTGTTGAGTGGTTGTCTATAGTGTTGAGTGGTTGTCTATAGTGTTGAGTGGTTGTCTAGAGTGTTGAGTGGTTGTCTATAGTGTTGAGTGGTTGTCTATAGTGTTGAGTGGTTGTCTATAGTGTTGAGTGGTTGTCTATAGTGTTGAGTGGTTGTCTAGTGTTAGTGTTGAGTGGTTGTCTATAGTGTTGAGTGGTTGTCTATGAGTGGTTGTCTATAGTGTTGAGTGGTTGTCTATAGTGTTGAGTGGTTGTCTATAGTGTTGAGTGGTTGTCTATAGTGTTGAGTGGTTGTCTATAGTGTTGAGTGGTTGTCTATAGTGTTGAGTGGTTGTCTATAGTGTTGAGTGGTTGTCTAGAGTGTTGGTGGTTGTCTATAGTGTTGAGTGGTTGTCTATAGTGTTGTCTATAGTGTTGGTGGTTGTCTATAGTGTTGAGTGGTTGTCTATAGTGTTGAGTGGTTGTCTATAGTGTTGAGTGGTTGTCTATAGTGTTGGTGGTTGTCTATAGTGTTGAGTGGTTGTCTATAGTGTTGAGTGGTTGTCTATAGTGTTGAGTGGTTGTCTATAGTGTTGAGTGGTTGTCTATATAGTGTTGAGTGGTTGTCTATAGTGTTGAGTGGTTGTCTATAGTGTTGAGTGGTTGTCTATAGTGTTGAGTGGTTGTCTATAGTGTTGAGTGGTTGTCTATAGTGTTGAGTGGTTGTCTATAGTGTTGAGTGGTTGTCTACTACACTGGTGCAGTGATCTCTCTTTCTCTCTTATCCTCTCATTGTTTCTCCTCATCTGCGTCTCTGCTTTCTTCTCTTACTGTCCTTCATATCTTTCTCTCAGCACCTTTCTCTTACACTCCCTCCGTCCCCTCTCTCTCTCTCTCTCTCTCTATTTTAATCGTTCGATAGTGAACTGATGATAAAGATATCTAAGGGTGATGTTATGTAATGTTCTGCCCACAAACTGTTACTTTCTTATACAGTGTCATGGTGTAGACTGTAGACCGTAGACTGTACCACACACTCACTCATGATTCTGTGCACATTAATTCTTACCACTATGTGAGAATACAACAGCGGATTTAGTTACGGTAGAGTCTCAGAGTAATACCACCATCGTCTTGACCACCTTGTAGTTTACCCCGAGTCAGTTAAGTCCAGTACATTTTCATTATCTCGATTGGGGAGAGAGAGGAAGCTTTATCATGGGACGGAGAAAGCTTTACCGTATAAGGGAGAAAGCTTTACCGTAGGAGGGAGAAAACTTTACCATATAAGGGAGGAAGCTTTACCGTATAAGGGAGAAAGCTTTACCGTAAGAGGGAGAAAACTTTACCATATAAGGGAGAAAGCTTTACCGTAGGAGGGAGAAAACTTTACCATATAAGGGAGAAAGCTTTACCGTAGGAGGGAAAAAGCTTTATCTTATAAGGGAGAAAGCTTTACCGCAGGAGGGAGGAAACTTTATCGTATAAGGGAGAAAGCTTTACCGCATAAGGGATAAAGTTTTACCGCATAAGGCGAAAATCTTTACCGTAGGAGGGAAGAAAGTTTACCGTATAAAAGAGAAAGCCTTACCGTAGGAGGGAGAAAGCCTTACCGTAGGAGGGAGGAAGTTTTATCACATGAACCTTTGAGAATCTACCTTGGAATATCTTAGCTTGTATATGAGACTGTTAGATGCGTTTTCATATTTCCAGCTAAAATACTCACTTTAATTGACGCATTCCTGTGACACCAATCTTTGTGTTTTGGCTTAATTAAGGAAGTGAATTGGATATGTTCTCACGTTTCCAATTAAATGGAATATTAACTCTACGAGACTCTGATAATCTGGGTTTTAATGGTTTTGTGGTGTTTTAATGGCCTCACGTTTTCTATCTGTCGGTCATAAGAAACCGACAGACACCAACGAATAATGCGAGACACAGTGATAGTAGATGATCAGTGAAAAATAGCAGTTAGAAGATAGACAATGAATAGCAAGGTTAGGAAGACGTAGAAGAAGGAAATGAAGCAACAAAGTTTGAAAGACTAAGTAAACGTTAATAAATGAAAAACAAAATAACAAAAGAAATGGATCACCTGAAGAATCGTCACCCCATAGTGTCCACCTGAAGAATCGCCACTCCACCCACAACCAATATAAGCTGAAAGGTTAGGTTAGGTTAGGTCAGGTTAGGTTAGGTCAAACAAGCATAATGTGAGATCATCACATAAGAACATAAGGATGGAGGAAACTGCAGCGGGCCTATTGGCCTATACTGGGCAGTCCCATTTACACCCAACCCCTATCGCTCATATTTCCCATCCAACCTATGCTTGAAGCTAACTAGCGTATTCGAGTTAATGATGATATTTGGTAACTTGTTCCACTCGTCCACTACTCTATTTCCAAACCAATGTTTACCTATTTCGTGCCTAAATCTAAATTTGTCTAATTTAAAACCATTGTTACGAGTTCGCTCCTGGTTGGATAGTTTGAGTACCTTTGTAATATCCCCTTTGTTTAGCCCTGTTTTCCTTTTATACACCTCTATCATATCGCCTCTGCCTTCACACCTGACCTTACTTCACCTGAAGATTAACCATAAGAACATAAGAAAATAAGGAGTCTGCAATAGGCCGGTTGGCCTGTGCATGGCAGCTCCTGTCGAGAGTTACTACCACTCTCTATCATCCATGAATCTATCTAGCCTCCTTTTGAAACTTTCCAGAGTTCCCGCACTTACTACAAAGTTGCTAAGCTTGTTCCACTCGTCCACCACCCTATTTTGAACCAGTTTCTTCCTATCTCCCTCCTAAACCTAAACTTATCCAACTTGAATCCGTTGCTCCGAGTCCTATCCTGCTCGGATATTATAAGAACTTTATCTATATCCCCTTTATTGATTCCTTTCACCTACTTAAATACTTCAATCATATCTCCCCGCACTCTTCGTCTTTCTAGGGAATGCAAGTTAAGTTTCTTTAGCCTATCCTGATATGGAAGGTTTCTAAGTCCCGGAATCATTTTTGTCATTCTTCGCTGCACCGACTCTAGTGAATTTATATCCATTCTATAATAGGGGCACCAGAACTGAATCGCATAATCGAGGTGTGGCCTGACTAGCGCAAGATATAGTTGCAATAAGACCTCTGCACTCTTGTTACTTACACTTCTAGATATAAAACCCAATACTCTGTTTGCCTTATTTCGAACATTAACGCACTGTTTTCTAGGCCGTAAGTCCGGGCTTACAAGTACCCCTAGGTCTCTTTCACAAGTCGACTTTTCTAGGTTGATGTTGTTAAGGCTGTATACATTATAAGTATTTGTTCTTCCAATATTAATTACGCTGCACTTGCTGGTGTTGAATTTCATTTGCCATTTTTCAGCCACCCCTGCAGTTTATTTAGATCCTCCTGTAATGCATTTGCATCCTGCCCTGAATTAATTTGTCGCCCTATTTTGGTGTCATCCGCAAACTTGCTTATGTCACTGCTGATCCCAGTATCTAGATCGTTTATGTAGATTATGAACAAGAGTGGGCCTAGTACTGACCCCTGGGGAACCCCACTGGTTACACGGCCCCACTCAGATTTAACACCATCTACGCTGACCTCTGCGTTCTATCGGTGAGCCATGATTTTATCCAATTTAAAACTTTCCCCTCGATACCATGAGCCTTAATTTTTCTCAGAAGCCTCTGATGCGGTACTGATCCCACCTGAAGAATCGACACCCTATCAAATTCTAGGGTGACGATTCTTCAGGTGATTAAAAAAATGAAAGAACTAAGGCAAAAGAGAAGGGAATCCTAATAAAATTTGAAAGAAATGAGTAAAAGAGAAGAAAATTAAAATAAGTTTTAAACTAAATTATAGAAGTGACGAAACGAATAATAATTGACCTAAAATAAGAAGAATTAACAACAAAAGAATTCAAAAGACTCGATATAAGAAAAAACCCACGCCGATTTAATAGAGTTAGTAAAAAGACAAGTTTAGGAAAATCAATAAAAGAAGAAAAAATAGGGAACACGAGGGCTTGGGAGAACAAATAGTAATAAGTAAAGAAGAGAAATGGCAAATACGTGATGGGGACGGAGGCAAGGCAACACACACACACACACACACACACACACACACACACACACCAAAAAATTAGCGGTCATGTTGCGAGGAATTAATAAAAAATTTACCAAGATTAAAGATTAAGAAAAAACATACAATACTGGTATAAGAAAGAGAGAAAGATGGACATAAGGAGAAAAGGAGGAAGATGATTATTATGACGAAAAACTAAGACGGTGAGAATAAATAAGGTGAGACAGAAGAGAGTGCAGGGGAATTATTTAGTAGTCGTTTTAATAGTATGAGGAGGACGGGAGACAAAACTGGTTAACATGTAACGAGGGATAAATGATAAAGGATCAACTTGATGTAATAAGGACGCTAAAGAAGAGAAGGGAACAAGGGGCATGATAAGTCATTAATAATAAAAATAATAAACCCTGAAAAGAACGAAAGAGACAGAAAAAAAAGAACGGGGACAGGAGACAAAGAGGACAAAAATAAATTAGAGGACAGGTGACAAGGTGAGTGAGGAGGGAGGGAGGGTGAACGTTGGTCACGAGGGCGGGGGACCGGCCACCCTCCCTCAAGGCTTCGTTCCTTACATTGCCTGTAGACGTGACGACTCAAGAGACCAATAAATCTGTTGATCTATTCCAGGGTGCCACACGCAGCTAACGACGAAAACGACGCCGAAATTGCATTAGGATTCTTTTATGACCCGATACGTTCACTAATTCGTAGTTAAAGGGTAAAAAAAATGTACGAAACTTTTGAAAATCTGGACCCAGGCAGGCTGGCAGGTAGGTTGGTTCGAGTCGTTCGACACAGGTGAGCCAGTGGCGCCCGGGCGGTCGGAGGGGAAGGATGTGCGCGCGGTCCGCTCGCCCCTGACCACGCCTGCTTTACTTGTGTTGCTTATAACTATACAGGGATACGTATATACATGCGAGTGAGAAATTACTCAGTGAAGGGTGAGATACATGAGCTGTGTGAAGTCATACTCGATGCAGTAGGAGAGTGACCACGTTGTGATCGTTGAATGGAGGTGGTGTGTGTCTCGAGCATCACACTGGAAAAGAAAAGACTGCTTCATCGCCTCTGTATTGTGAAAATATCAATAACATGTTTATTTGACTGGCGGTACTGTGAGTGTGACGTAGAACTGTCACCAGGGTGCGATTGAAGTTGACTCCAGCTTGAGGTCGCAATACGTCCAGTAACACCTGTTGATCTCTGTGGGTAGAGCTTCAGGTGTTAGCGTGTACCTGAAATAACACCTGTCAGCTGTAAGACAACTGTAGGTTATTAGAGACAGAAACCCTGACATCAAAAGTGAAAAAAAAATAGTAGGAAAGCGTGTAGGGTGCAGCTGACCCATCATCCATGTCGTTTTCTGACAAATATAAACACTGCCTACTGAAGCCCGTGTTTCTCAGAACAACTTCAAAATGATATTCGAATGTAAAGTAATTTCGTAATGCAGCCGTCATGCCACAAACGGTAGTTATTTGTACCAAAATAATCCCCTCTCTATGTCGGTGTAGGTGGTAGAGCCGTCAGGGACTGTCACTGGAGACAGTCGATCACTATCAATCTAGATCAGTCACGTACACTCACCGCGCCTCACCAACTCTGGCAATTGACACAATATCTTTAAAACATTACTTTTGGTGACTTTCCGTACGTCATCAATATTCCCATCGTAAAATGTCCTCAATCGTTAATTTAGTACCGAGATCACGTCATTTTATGAACTTAAGCACAAGAGCACACATGCAGTTATGATCTAGATACTAGTGTGGTTATAGGTACAGTACATTTATTGTTACAAAAGCAGTTGCTGGCTCAGAAACAGTGCAGACACTACTGCAGGAAACGAAACAAGTACTGCACTGTTATAGATACAGCTACTGATACAAATACTGTACCTTCTCTCAGGCCCACTCCGTCTTTCCTTGCTCGATCATATTCTCGCCTCACTTTCATCGCTTCCTTAAATTCGGATGTGTATAGAGGTTCCCAGTGAGCGAGCAGCCAAACAATAAATACCCATAACATCACGATGTCAGTGTAACCTCCAATCTATCTCTTAACTTCACTTAATTAAGAAATTTGGAAATCTAGTTCAGATGTCGAAGATTCTTCTGAACCACTACAACTATACTTATATGTGTGTGGAACTAGAGTTTACCCGAGTATGAGTGGTACTCCATATTGGGGGGACCTGTAGGAGTGTCACTCATTCCAGGGAGAGGAGCTCTAGCTCCACATACCTACTTGACAGAGCTTGGCTCACACTGTCTTTGCTACACTGTATAGTGTTAGTTTCCCATTTCTGTTCGTTTGATATTTCTATGGTTTCTTCTCCCAATTGTCAGTTGTCTCTGTCCCCCTCCTGCTGTGTACGACAAGCCACGCGGTGCTGGACAAGCCACTGTGTCACGCAGTTGAGTGTGGGTGTTGGCAGTTTGAGGATGGGTCTTTATGAAGCTGTTTATTATCGTTTACTGCTTAAGTTTCGAACAGTTTTATCTAATCAAGCTCTTCCAGTCAACTAGATAATCTGTTCCTTGTCCTATAAAACATACCCTGACTGACTATTCCACTCTTTTTAGTTTCCCTAAAAGATCTGTCCGTGACTGGAGCTTCGTTAATATATAGAACAGTATCCGCAAACAAATAGAGACGTATAGTTCCAGATAAAGGTACATAAATATCAGTATAACAGTAAATAAACTCGGAACAACGTATTTTATCGTGTCACATTATCTTGTGCAACTATAAGTTAAAGGTAATATAAACAGTACGTGCTTCTCTCGCATCAACAGTAGTTAAAAAGATTGTTAGTTTCTTGCCGTGATACACCGCTACTAATGTACTGAGACTCGCTGGTGCTACTATACTGTAACCTTGTTGACCGGCCCTCCATGGTAGCCGAGAATATATATCTGTATTTTGGTATTTTTTAATTCTCTTATTTACTCGAGTGGAATCACAAATAGCGTTAGAGTGGTTATTCTTTAGGTGAAATAGGATGGGGTGGAGATTCTTCAGGTGATCCGGACTTAGAGTTATTGTACTTCATGGATTGGTACTATTTTTGTCCAGTGAATTACTTTGAGGGTAAGATTTTGGTCCACTCACCGGTGAAGTAAATAAATAGTTCCTTCGTGATGAATCGCAGTTGTTTGTGTATCCATCCGAGTAGCCAAGAGAGACTTAAAGACAGGCCTAAGTGAGTTTATTTTGTCTATAGAATATTCTATTGTCTAGAACTAATCCGGGCAAGAGATAGTTTCTCGTTTTAAGGAAGCTTCTTTTATGTTAGAGCTCAACCAACACTTTTCTAGATGCGAACGCGAATTTGGGTGGAATTCCAATTGTGGTTAATTTATGTGGTGGTGAGGTTATAGAGGGAGAGGCTGTGATTGGTGGGCTGGAGGCTCTGAATAACACAGGCATCCTGCCTGTCTGGAGGCCCGCGTGACACAGCCCGCCTCCGATACCGCAGCGCCAACCCGACCTCTGCTTAACGCCGACATCGGTTTTATTCTCGTACTCTTGATCTAAAATTAATGCATTCAGGTGTTATCCTGTTTCTTTAATAACGCCTGTTGCAGACCATAATCTAGGAGCTTTAAAAAACATTCTTAAATATTAACAATAAGTTAAGTATATAATAATGATACTCGTTGGTTAGATTATCAAATTACAATGTATGACAAGCGTTCTTATGATAAGAATAGTACTAATGTTCAAGTCTAGACAATAAATATATGAGAATGAAGGTGAAAATTGTTGAAGACTTAAGTTATAGACTGGAGTGTACAAAGAATAAAGCTTATCTATAACTTAAAGTCTTCAACAATTTTCAGCTTCACTCATAATTTATTATTTGGAATTTTTTTCTCTCTTGGCAGAAAGCTTTATACGTTGTAGCTTAATGATATAATTCACCAACGACTTTTATTCTCCCAAAGTGAACTTACGCGTTCTATCTGAATTTGAGTACTTGTTTATTTTGTGAGAAGACATTACGTTAATTGTGGTTTTAGGAGTTTCAAGATAATATCCAATTGGAATGTACAGTAGGAAGAAATAATACGGATTTTAAACTTTCAACTACTTTAATGTTTTAACACCTTGATATATTTCTTAATTTGCAATTCGTATAATTAGTTTATTTATATACTATTTTTCCAAGAACTTCTGTCATAGATCATTAGACAAGGATTACGTCTTCGCAGTTTTGATTTTGATTTATACATCGATTAGTAAAAGCTTTAGAAGAATGCCTGACGCAAATCACAGATATGTATACGTGTTTGAAGCTAGAACCAGGAAAGGGAATCCATGGCTTAATTCAACAGGCTACATCCTCGTACCAGTAATTTAGTATGTAAATGTGCATACTACGCTATTTAAAAGAATGCTCGTCACAGATCATATTTTCGGACTTGTTTTTGTGAGGTTGAAGTGAACAAAAAGGAACAAGACGAGCCACGGATTAACTCTTCGTCAAAGTTTAGTCCCGTCCCCATAATTCATAAATTGTACTTTAGCAGGAGTATATACAACTGCTACAACACTTGGTAAATATAAAGCTATAGTGTGTGAAATATTAAGATGTTTGTAAGGGTGGAATGTGAAAAGATTTAAGCCAGGTTTTTATTCGCTTGCCTTGAATTATAAGACATCAGTAGGCCACGATACTTATAGGTACACTTGTCACAAATCAAAGTCTGAGAGATACTTAAGGAGATGTGTCAAGACTGGAACGTGGAAGAACAAATCCGCGTTTCTGACACCCCCCCCCCCCCAAAAAAAAAAGAACAAAATTAATTCCTTTAGGCTTATTATATGATTAATAATTGACCATTACAGTATGCCTTCATTTTTGGGATGAAGACTTGTCACAAATCATAGTTTTAGATACATGCTGTATATTCTTGTTAAGGTTGGAATGCGGGGGGAGGGGGGGGGGGGCTAGCCTAGTCATGTCTTTATTAGGTCATCGGGGTTGGGCGGCTTGTGGAATTTGTAGTCCCCTTATTTTTTTCTCGTTTATTTCTTCCATTGTTCATTGTATGTGTATAAGTGTTGTTGGTGTGTAGGGTATAATTGGTCTAACACACTATCCAGGTACTCAAGCCTTACAATGTGGCGTGTTGTGGAGTTATCACTGGTTAAAGAAACATTAATATGATTCACCTCATTAATTCACTTTTTGATCGTTATCTTAACTGGCATGAAGACTTAAGTGATAAGAGAAGGTCAAAGTAATTCATGAAAGCGTCTCTATTTTTATGTTTATTGGACCCACTTAACCATTTTAAATATATCCTGAAAAAGGGGTAAATGTCATACTATATTATCAAAGGAAATATAGATCTTATTTCATCTCGATCTCTTGTAGTTAATCATAGACTATAACTTTTACCTTATTTACTTAACTTGAAAATGTGGTTCTGGTGATTATGTAACTTGTGTTGTCTCTTGAATAAAAATCACCTTTCAATGTATGAACCATGGCTTTTGACCTTGAATGACCATATGCATTATTTTTAACTATGCTTTTGAAGTCAATACCTAAAAATAGTCTTAATTCGACGGATTTTAAGTCAAATTCTCCTCTAGGAATACAAGTGGGTATTTTAAGAGCCTGATAATAGTACCAGTGGTAAAACTAGTAGCTGAGATAGAAGTGTATGATATATTTACTCTTGTTGAGATACTGACCGTACAGTTACTAGTAGTTCAGATATTACTAATGGTGTAGCAATTGAGATAAACCTACAGTACTAATTTAACGTTAAAGCCAGAACTAGTGGTGTAATGACTGCAGTGAGAGAGAGAAGCAATTATCTTTGCGATTCTCATAAAATGTTCTTATGTACAAAGATATCTGTACTTCCGTTGATATACTGTACTGTATTTCTGTCATTTTATTGTCAGCCAGAAATAAATAGAAACATAGATGAAGAAATATTGATGTACATAGAAAGGAAGAAATTAAAAGTCAAGAGAATTACATCAATCGTAATAAAACATCTTCCTGTATATTTGTGTCACTTGGTGTTATTAATGTTTTTGTTAAATATTGACGTCGTGGTCTTACTTAAACTAGCGGACACTGCGTTAACGACTCAGCAGTTCACTAATGACCGGGAAATATGCTAATCACCCGACACTATGTTAACAGCCAGTCAGTATGCTAATGACTCCAGCAGAATGCTAACGACCCTGGAGTATGCTGACCAAGTATGCTAACCACCCATGAGCATAGACAGATTGATAGAATGCTTCAAGTAATGGGGAACACTATGATCGCAGCCTAGTGAGGTATGCTGGCAGCTCACGGTATTATGCTCTGACAAATTGTTTAGATGTTTAACATCTTGTAAAAATATTAATCACTGATGGACAGTGTGATAGGAGTCTAAGTGTGTATTGTGATAGATGGGGAGCATGTTTAATAGTTAATGGGGGAGCAGCATAACATTATACGCTGAGACGTCGATAGAATGCTCAAGTATCAACAGCAATAATATGATCATTAATTAATATACTCGATTAACGGACCAACAGTATACGGTACTGTGTGTGCTGGATAGGCAAGTAAACAGTGTGCTAATTTAAGATCACTAATGATTTACTTGATATCGTATATACTAACTGAGCAGCAACTGCATACTAACCAACTATACCGAATCCTCAGCAGGTAACTGTTGGTAGTCCAATCAACAGGTGGACAGTGCGCTGAGTGGCCTAGATGTTAGAACACTGGGCGATATTAGTACAATTAGTATGCTAACTACCTAGTTATATGCTAACGACCAATCAACGGTATACTGGCAAATTAACTCCTGGTGCAATTTTAGCTACAAGAATATTTAATTAACTGTACTGGTGCGTGATATATCAAAGAGTATCGGTAGTTACTCACAGTGCAATTATTGTTAAATATTCGACTTCTTAACTACTGCGTTAATTTATGGAGTTTTTCATAAATTGTTTGGCTAAAAAAGTATTGTATAGTACAGCTCAAGTTACAACCAACATTTTTTTTACTTAAGAGAAAGACAGACACTGACTGATAAACAGACAGGTAGACAGATTGACAGGTAAAGGAAACAGAAGCAAGATGTGATCAGTTTCAAGGTCTAGACCCGATTCTCACGACGAATTTCTCTTCCGCAGCTCTGCGTATGACGTCGCCTCTAGTTACGAAAACCTCTTCGAAATTTTGGCTGCTTTATTTTGTCTTAGCTAAAGTGAACAAGCTAGATGTGTCCTGATATCAACAGTTAAGGGAAAACTTACTTAATGTGCGTCTTGCTGATAATTCATCCTTGTACCACGATTTTATCTCGTTAAATCAGTAGTAGTATACTGTATCTAACCAGCAGAAAAATATAGGTTGCACAAACATTTATAAATCCATTTTTGTACCGACCTGTGCTGAAGTGAGCCAGTTTGATGCGTATTCACATATTCAGTTACAAAGGAAAACTCAACGTAAGAATCTTTGATAATCTTAGCAGGACAAAGACAGGAAGTCGTCGTAGCCTAGGACGGTAGTGTCGCTCGCTGGGAATGTCGAGGAAGGATGGTTTCTGGGCCCATTAGTGTCAATGGTATGACGAAGACAGTAATGGAGAGGTTACCTGACTCTCTACTAATGGGGTAGAGGGAGGGTCTGGAGGGGCTTCACCTGGTAGATAAGCCCGAGGGTTATAGGACAAATCCCACCCAAGCCTAAGCTAGTCTGACTTCTTACCTACCATAGCCTAGTCTCATTAACCATGTTCTATGAAAACGACGACACTAACTGGTGGAATTTTGTGTCGAGAAAACTTTTACGCTGGGGTTTTGTACACAATTCGAAATTTTTTATCCACCGAGAAATATACAGGTGGGGTTTGGTCCATTTGTGTTACTTAAGTAGTAAGATTTTGTCAAGTAGAGGTCCTTACCAGCACCCGAGGGGGAGACGCGAAGGTTGCCTCATGACAGGTCGGGTGAGAGGAAGTTAAGTCCCTCGATGGTCGGTTTAGTTTCCTCTATTAATTGAGTTACTTGGGGGTGTCATACTAGATTAAACGATACGGTTGTCGCCTTCATATTTACTCTTCACTGTTGTCATAGTTTGTTGTTAATATCTGTGGTAGGTTTACTTTTTTTTCCTAGTCTTGGCTAATAAGAGACAATTGTTATTTTTTTTTTTTAGGTAATGTTAGATTTGATATTATCCTTCATTCGAGGCTTAATTTGATGATAGGTAAGACCTGTTGTTAAGTGTACTACATTCTGTTGTAAAGTCGGTACGTATTTTGGTTCATGTACGAGGTTGTCCACGAACTGTTTATGTAGTTTTCGCGACTTTTCGTTTGTCGAGCATTTGGCTGAACTGTGGCGACATTAATACTGAAAAATAATTAATTCATAAGTGATGACTGATGTTGAACTTATTCATACCAGAATTATCAAAATTTTAAGAATAAAATAAACTTCAAGTTATTATCATATTGGACCATAAGATTATCATACGTTATTATTCACTTTTATTTTTGATACGATAAAAGTGAATTGGGAAAACTCGATGGAAATATTGACTAGCTTATTATTTTTCAGCAGGTAAGGCAAGGAAAGTGATGATAAGAAAGGACCAATACCACACTGTACTGTACATAAAGTACCCATTACTAACTGTATATACTAGCATAATAAGTGAAGACTAGTGCCCCCGTGATAGCTATAGGCTGAAAATAACACTCCTAACTACCTCAGTTATACAAGTTCCTGGAGTAAACCATAAGTAAACAAGTAATATTAGAGCTACGCATCTGGCATTAGTTGTTACTGTTATTGTTTGTGACATGAACACGATGCATAGTCTTGTATGAAGTGCGTCTAATGCTTGTACCATAAAAGAGCGCCATTGAAGAAAGAAAACTAGGCGAGTGTTTTACTTGGCGCTGCTTCCATAAACCTGAAATCATTTCGGGCTGGAAGAGGTAAACGCCAGGCACTATTAATATTGCCCGTGCAGGCGCTGCTGCTTTTTACGGTACGGACCGAAGTCCCTTGGTGTTTCCCCTTGAGTTCTGATGAACGCCAGGACTCAGCCAGGCCTTGGCACCATGGAGCTCTTGGATCTAAGGAAGAAGAAGATCAGTGCGACGACCAAGAGTCACGGCGCCAAGGTAAGACCAACATGTCCCTCCAGCAGCCTGTTGTCCCGGCGGGTTACTGCACGGAGGAGTCTTGTTAGTATGACTGATCCTTGTGGGAAGGTCGCTGGGAGTGGCAGAGGGGATATATATATATATATATATATATATATATATATATATATATATATATATATATATATATATATATATATATATATATATATATATATATATATATATATATATATATATATATATATTGACAGAAAATCATGTTTCTCTGTTATGAAGGATTTGTAGCTCATTAAATAGCAGACTAGCTTTCACAAATTAGATGCGCGTACCTGTACACCATATTGATAACTCACTTCATTATCTATGAACGATTGTCTAATTTTATCATACCCTAATAAGTAATGTGGGGGATGTAGCAACTTCAATCCCCGGACAACCTAGCCTTGTGTGTTGCTGCCTGGACGTGTCTTGAGCTATACTTAAAGCCAAATCGTTCGGGGCTGGAAAGTTGATCCACTTAGCAACATCCCACACAGGGTAAAATAGTTTATCCTCTATATTTTCGAGCGGTGGGCGTTCTCATTATGATGCATCGTGGTCATACATCCGTCTTGTGAACTGCGAGCTTAAGAAACTCGTTTTGAAAACCAGGTATCGCTATATTTCATCATCATAAGTAGGGCTTGTTATGACATGCCGTGATTTCCAGCTCTGCGAACTTGTTCCGCTGGAAAACTGTGGCTGTTTAGTGCTGTGTACCTTTGTTGCGTATATACTGTATTTATGTCTTATCAGTGTGCATTATTTATGTCTTTTATAAGAATGCGTCACAGTTATTAATAGTTAATCCGTAACAGAGGTGATATTGTTTTTATGAGAAGGTATTGAATAAATGAGTTTCTTGTTGGTACAGTTTATTAGAACGGGTCTCAAGTACTACAAATGAAAGTCATGAAATTTTTGTTTCCCTGTGGTTTTTAGAAGCAGAGCCGCGGGTAAAAACCCACCATGTACAACCTGTGCTCCTTTGATAGGCTAGAGCGCGACATTAGTCTAGCCAAACTTCTTTTAAAAACGAAGTTGCTTTAGGATCAGCTCTATTGTTGCCTGCACTCTGGCATAATGTCAAAGAACCATTAAATTACATCGTTTAGAGAGCCAGCTGACGCCGGGACCTCTTAAGGCATTACACTTATTAAGATGCAGCGGGGCAGAGTCAATCCCACTTTTTGTCCCTCTGCCCGAGCGGGGAGTCACCCGACCGTCATCGTAGTGCTAGGCTGCTGCCCCTCGCAACACTCGGGGCCCTGAGTTCGATTACCAGCATACCCACATACCCACACGGTATTGCAATTGAGGTGCATTTTTCAGGCCCGAACTGATCTAGCCTAGAATAGGCTAGGCTGTAATAGGTCAAATTTGGATCAGGACAAATTTGGTGGAGCAGAAGTTAGTTTAGCATATCGATTGCATATAAAGTTAAGCTAAGCTGTGATGGATCAGGTAAGTTCAAGCTAGATTGCTGATTTAAGATATTAAAAGTTTGGTCTGCTGAAGCTATAGCAGATCACCTTTCAGTAAAACAAAGATAGGCTACGTTCGGAAAATTTCTGCAGGAATATCAGGAGCCGAAATACCCAGCAGTTGTATTAAGCTAACACACACACACACACACTCTTATTCGCAACCATTGAATAACTACAACATTTAAATAATGGTAGAGCGCTCACTGCGTTGACAGAGTGCTGTTTTTGTCCACTGGCCAAAGATGAGTTTTGTGGGGTTGAACGACGCTCGTCATTCACACTGCACTGGGAAACCCGAACTATCGGAACATTCAACCTGTGGTCATATCCCCTTAGCCAAACCTTTGTTATGATTATTTTTATACATGGAAATTGATCTACGTGTTGTTTACAGAGACACAAGTGTAACGAAATGATTCAGATCTTTTCCGTGATTAGTTTTCTTCTGTGATTGAGGTGCCGTTTATTTTTATATAAATTAATAAATGAATATATTGTTCAGGAATACAAGGGAGGCAGCAAGTAGGTTTAAACATGTAAAAATATTATTTATTACTCTGTGTCTGCCATTGTCCCCTTCTCTTTTTCACACGGACAAAATCACTACCAACACATGTCATTGAACCCCTAAAAGCACATTACTAGTTGTACTTGAGTGGCCTGAAAAGATGTCATATAAATATATCGCATGATCAAATAAGGGCTGCGCCTCAGAGAGCACCAGACCAGCGGCCACTTGTCTTGACGCCGCTCACCACCTGAGAGAAATCACATATTATTTTTGTCTTTTTGATTGATGGGAAGTGCTTGCTCCCTTTCTCTTGTGTGTGTGTGTGTGTGTTTGCTTCTCTCTGTTTTAACATCCATCTGTCAGTGTGTTTTTCTCGATCTTGTTAACTCTCTCTCTCTTGACATTGTGAGAGGCGAACCAGTTATCTTAAAGAGTCCTTGAATTTAATCTAATATTTGTACAAAAAATATTTCCTCAATCTCAGATTTACGGTGTCCAGGTGTGTGTGTTTTTTGTCTGTCCAGGTGCATCCGTGTTTGTTTTGTGTGCGTCCGAGTTTGTTTTGTGTGTATCTGTGCTTGTTTTGTTTGTGTGCGTGTTTGTGTTCAGGTGCATCCAATGTGTATTGTATGTGTGTGTTTGGTTTATTTAGTTTACCAAGCGGTTGTCATATCAGGGCTGGTGTGTGTGTGTGTGTGTGTGTGTGTGTGTGTGTAGAATTCATTGTTCTTGATAGTCTTGTCCAGGTCTGTTTTCAAGTCCCAGTACTGTTCTTGCTTCTACGGCTTCAGCTGGTGGGTACAGTAGCTACTTCACCAATCTTCTTATGTGACGGAGTACTTTCTGAAATTCTTTCCGTATGACGACTTAACCAGCTTCAAACAGTGACATCTTGAAGGAGCAATTCCGTGTTAAAGATTTCCATCCTGTTTAAGGCCTGGAATGTTTTTATGAGGTCCGCCCTGTCGTGTCTTGTTGGAAGAGATGTCAATCCCAAGGCCACCGGCGTATACTAGGAGAATCGTGATGTCTTGTTTCAAGACTAAAACTACTAGCCCTTCGTAGTTCAGATGAGCGGGTTACGAGTGCTTTATAGGACTGATTATTAAAAGTTTTCTTCTCTTTTATTGATTGGTTTGTCTCTATCGCTACGTTATGGTCCATTTTCCTCATCTACAGGTACCAGGAGAGTGTTGTTGTTGTGTCCTGTTTGGAGAGTCTTACACTTTGTTGAATTAAAAAGGAATATTCAGTTCTGACATCATTTGATCAGTTTTGTGGGAGTATTTTTATGCGTATGTGTGGGTGTCCAGGTGTGAGTGTGTGTAGTTTTTGTGTGACCAGGTGTTTCATGTGTATATTTGTGTGTGTGTGTGTGTATACGTGCATGCTTGTGAGTTTATACGTTCAGAATTAGGTGTGTACTGTGCAGTATTTGTATACATGCGTGTTTTCCTGTGTAGCCTGTGTTAATGTGTGTTCATGCATAGGTGTATCTGTATCCATCTATTATTGTATGTATTAGAATACGCGTATATATGTTCATGAATATTTGTATATTAACTCGCAATTTTATTTCGTATGCATATGTGTGTGTGTCCTTTCAAATGCGTATGTCTGTATATATGTAACTGCATAAGTTTGTGTGCGTATGTATGCGTGCGTATATGTATGTGTGTGTGTGTACATACGCGTATGTATGAGTGCGTGCATGTGTGCATATGTGCATGAGGGTAGGGCTAGGTGGAGGCAGCTGGGGCCAGACTGGGTGTGTCCGTCGCTGAGGCAAATGTCAAACATAATCACACCTTCTGGGAGGCCATGTGTCATAATTTATCACCTCACCTGTACCTGCGAGATGAATTATGCTCTCTCTCTCTCTCTCTCTCTGTCTCTCTCTTTCTCTCTCTCTCTCTCTGAATCTTTAACTTAAAATGTAATTATAACGAAATAATCTTTTTTAACCATATTTTAACTATCGATCTTTCATGTATCTTATGATGATTAAAATGTAATTCATATTATGTCATCAGCTGTGAGGGAGGACGTACCACCTACCTGGGTGATGTTCGTAGGTGTAGAATAAACAAATAAATGAATGAATGATTAGGTAAATGAATAAATAAGATAATCACTAACATAAACATTATTACTAGAGGTTAAACCGACGATCCAGAACAAATAAAAGAAAACAATATACAAATACCTGAGCTGAATGTTGCATCAAACGCATTTCGAAATTTGTAAAAAAAAATATCAATGTATATGCAAATTGAATAATAAATTCGTCCACAAGATAAGTATAATTCTTGACTTACGACGTAGTTCAACCGATAGTTCATGATGCTGATTGTATTTAATTCGAAGGTCATATATTTTTTTTTCATTGTGTGTTGAAAGACTTATGTTCACAGGTGTTGAAGATGGTCTTAGGTGGTGGAGGGAGGGGCCGAGGCGGGGGACCTAATTAGACTATTTTCACTTGATTCTAAATGTTGAATTATAATAAAAATAAATATATAAATAAATATATATATATATATATATATATATATATATATATATATATATATAACACATATATATATATATATATATATATATATATATATATATATATATATATATATATATATATATATATATATATATATATAAATATATTATATATATATATATATATATATATATATATATATATATATATATATATATATATACAGGTATATATATACTGTATATATATATATATATATATATATATATATATATATATATATATATATATAAAATGATAATAATAAAGGTAAAAATAATAATAATAATAACAACAACAATACCCTGGTAATAACAACAACAACATTATCCTGGTAATAGCAACAACAATACCCTGGTAATAACAACAACAACAATATCCTGGTAATAGCAACAACAACAATACCCTGGTAATAACAACAACAACAATATCATGGTAATAA